CCGATTCGTAACCACTACGTGAAGGCACATACACTTCTTTTATTTGTAGATGGCGAGGAAGAAATGAGAAGGTGCCAGGACTTTTTTGTGGTTAAAACAGTAAGAACGTAACAGGGGGTTGGTGGGGACTAACTGGATAATTTGAGTTATGAAGAATCAAAAATAGTGAAAGGAAAAAGTTAAAAAAACTTCTTCTATCCATAAAACAATAATAACAACAGAAAGAAATAATGAAAATGGCTGATGGTGTTTGCATATAACTTTGACTTCTCTCTCATTATTTTAGCAACAAGTGGGAATATTGTGATGACCCAGTCTCCACTCAGTCTGTCCATGCTGGGACAGACAGCAACCCTCACCTGCAAATCAAGTCAGAGCCTTGTACATAGTGATGGAAAGACCTATTTGAACTGGATCCAGCAGAAGCCAGTCCGAGCTCCACGTTCCCTGATCTATCAAGTTTCTAACTGGTACCCTGGGGTCCCAGCCAGGTACATTGGCAGTGGGGCAGTTACAGATTTCACTCTTAAAATCAGTAGAGTGGAGGCTGAGGACATTGCCGTTTATTACTGCATGCAAGGTATACAACATCCTCCCACAGTGATACAGCCCTGCACAAAAACTTGCATTGTGGAGACCCAGCTGTCCAACTGTGTGTGGTTTGTCTGAAAACAGACATAGCAAGTCTGATAAAGAGGAAGATATGGGAGAACTCAAGGCACTTGATTGTGACTGAGGACAGGTTAATGATCAGATTTATATAGGCAGGATTGTATCTACCACCAGGACACATTCAAGGTTCAGCTTGTATTTCTATTTCTACCTGATGATGAGATCCTGATATCCATATAATATGACTTGTGGCTCAGACACAACTCAGTCATAAAGGGAAATGCCCATCACATGGTTGCTTGATGTCCTATGGTAAAGGCTTATTTGGATTTGTCAAGGGTTAAGCAAGTCCCTGTGTCCTATTGTTGTCCCGTGGGATAAAGCACTGGAACAGTAGGCCAGGTAGAGCCACAAGGTTGGTGATTGAAACTCACTAGCTATTCCTTTCAACGCTATATAGGGTTTCTATGAGTTGGAACTGACTCAGTGGTGCTTAACAGAAATAGTAAGGCAGAACCCTATCTCAAGAAGAGGGCTACTCATTATCTATAGAAGAGATCATGGCATTGTCCCAGTACTCT